TCCCTCGCCCCCTCCCTCCCCCCCTCCCTCGCCCCTCCCTCCCCCCTCCTCCCCCCCTCCCTCCCCCCCTCCCTCCCCCCGTCCCTCGCCCCCTCCCGCGCCCCTCCCTCGCCCCCTCCCTCGCCCCTCCCCCCCCCCCCCTCGCCCCCCTCGCCCTCCCTCGCCCCCTCCCTCGCCCCTCCCTCGCCCCCTCCCTCGCCCCCCTCCCTCGCCCCTCCCTCGCCCCTCCCTCGCCCCCTCCTCCCCCCTCCCTCGCCCCCTCCCTCGCCCCTCGCCCCTCCCTCGCCCCCTCCCTCGCCCCCTCCCTCGCCCCCCCTCGCCCTCGCCCCTCCCTCGCCCCTCCCTCGCCCCTCCCTCGCCCTCCCTCGCCCCCCTCGCCCCTCCCTCGCCCCCTCCCTCGCCCCTCCCTCCCGCCCCTCCCTCGCCCCTCCCTCGCCCCTCCCTCGCCCCTCCCTCGCCCCTCCCTCGCCCTCCCCCCTCCCTCGCCCCCTCCCTCGCCCCCTCCCTCGCCCCTCCCTCGCCCCCTCCCTCGCCCCCTCCCTCGCCCCCTCCCTCGCCACCTTCAAGATCCGTCTCAAGATCCTCCAATTCGAACGCGCTTTCGATCTCTCTGTTTCCCACCACTCCCCCCCTCCCCGACCCCGACCCCCAGCTCAGGTCCAAAACTCTGCCCAGCGCCTTGGGACGTCCTCCCGACGTGAAGGGCACGATACAAATGTAACTGTTGTTGTTGTTGACAGTCAGGGTTTCAGACCAAGTGCAAAGTGTAAACTGTAAAGGGCAGTGACTGTGTATTTTGTGGGAGAAATGTGGCAGTAAACTCCTGATAACTCGTCAGTCCGAGGGAAAAGGGCTCAATCAGTGACGAGTTATCCAGAGTGACGTGTTGGGCATATGGATAAATATAGGATATTTTCAGTGGTGGGAAGTGAAGCCAGGGTCGGGCTACCAGGAATTTACAGCTATACAGTGGATATAACACGGCTCAGCCCCCATCGGCACTGTGGTGCCTGGTGTCTCTGGCAGCAGGACACATGTTGCTAATGAATTGGTCTGAGCAGTTATCACGTCAGCAAGTGGAATACTTTTACCTTTCGCGTGATAAAACTTTCTCTGATTTACTGCATCTCTTGGAAACGGCAGCTGTCAATCAGATAAAAGTCCCCGACACACAAAGCGGCTGTGGGTAATTTAGCCTCCAGTCTGTTCGTGGGATTTTGCTGTTACAAAATGGCTGTTTGCCGTCTGCACTTATCTGTGAAGCGCTTTGAAATTTGATAAGTTGCTAAAAAAAAACACCAACAAAAACACTCTCTTTTACTGTTTCCTGCGTTCCCTTGACAAACCGGTCAGTCTGGTTCCACCTTCTCTCCTCTCAGCCAGTGGACAAACCAAGCTTTGTGTTGGTTTGAAAGTCCCACAGCTGCGACCAGAGGAAATAACCAATCACAGGGAGGAGGGAGAGAGGGAGAGAGGGAAAGGGAGAGAGGGAGAGAGGGAAAGGGAGAGAGGACAGAGATGGACTTCAGGTTTGAGTTACAAATTCAGGCTCAGTGACAGACGCTGTCACCCTTGGGCTCGGCCACCAGACGGCAGCAGATCTGCTCCAGCACCACAGGTTGGAGACCAACACATAATAATAATAATAATAATTCTGGCATTTGATACCGAGCCTCATCCCGTCTGCGAGACGTCTCAAAGCGCTTCACAAGAGTATCCTGTAAAGTGAATTGACTGCATATTTGTGGGTGAAATGCGGCAGTCAATTACGCACAGCAGCGTCCCCGCAAACAGTCGTGGATTGAAGTGACCAAGTTATTATTGTTTTTTTCCTGAGGGATTATTATTAGGCTCTGTGTGGAGTAAGGAAACCTGCCCAAGGTTTCGCCCTCTGCCGGGAATTGAACCCAGGTCTCTCACTTGTGAGGCGAGTGCGCTACAAGGCTCCTAACATGTGGCTTGCCCCCGAAAGAAATCCTTCCCTTTGCTTTGCTGGAGCTGCTATTTGCAGGAGCAAATGTAAAATGTATGTAAAAACATACACTGGGCTCAGACATTGCCATTCACAAGCAGGGTCTCTCTCATACGGCGTTTAGTGTTAGCTGTCGGCCTCTTACTCCCCATCTCTCTCCACCCACTCGTCTCCTGAAAACATTTGTTTTCCCTCTCGTGGGGATCAGAGCCAGAACCTCACCCCGTGCAGCCATTACTCATGTGGAAACCTTGGCGAAATCTTGGCGAGAGCCCAGTATCACAGCCACTCGCACTCGCACTTGTACAGCTCTCTTCACAACAACAACAAGGCAGACACAATGCGCTAACTGGCCTCCTGTGCTGCATTATTCTATGATTCTAACAACAACTCACATTTATACAGCGCCTCTCACACAGAGCAATGTCTGTCCCTGATACACATCCCACAGCAAGAATATCATAAGTTATTACTATTTTGTGCCTCCCTCTCTCTCTTTCACTCTCTAAGACCCCTTGTTTGTCTCTTGCTGGAACTCCCTATATGTGTTTCTCAGGCTCCTGTGTTATTGCCCTGAGACCTGCTCCTTCCACACTCCCTCCTCCATGCACCATAACCCTTTCCCCTTCACAGCACCTATATAACTTTACTGGCAGCTCATAAAGGGCTGGTATTTACAGTCAGACCTCACGCAGAGCCGCACACCGGACACCAGAGACAGTAACAATGCTGCTTGTAAACTCTGGTTAATTACACTGTGCCCAGGGTTACAGGCAATGTCACTGTGGCCTGTCACCGTGTTCGGGGCTGCAAAAGACTTGGAAGTTAAAACTTGACTCTGTCAGTGTCCTGATATCATCCCAGACAGTCACTGGTAACTGTTGGCCTCAGGGCGGGAGGGTAGTGGTGGGAGGTGAGAGACAGAAGGAAAGTGACAGAAAGAAAGACAGGTGTGTACAGAGAGAGAGAGAGAGAGAGAGCAGGTCAGGCCTCTGGCTAAGCTTACACCCAGGGGTTCTCATGACTCTGGATAGATCAGAAACTTCCTATGATGTTTCCATCATGAATGTAACATACAATCAAGCTGGTGTGTGAGGTGAAACGAGAGTCACAGGACGTATGTGTGAGCTTGAGACTGCTCTGCAATATGATTTTGTAAGCGTTTAGCTACAAAAATACTCTGCGCCTTTTGTTTGGCTGCGGAGTTGATTCCCATGGGATTATGAATGTGTAACAAGGTCCCCTCCTTGCCCTGAGGCTCTCAGTCACAGGGTGTTGCCAGTGTTGTGATTAGGTTCTCAAGAAAATGAAAGATCCCAGTGCTCACCCCAGCCTCACAGTCCCCACCCCTCAAAGGGCTGCAGTTCACTGATGTTTTCACCCAGCACAGGGCTGCGACGCTGGATTTAATCTTGGCCACAAATCTCCCAAATAATAAAATATTACTCATTCACTTTGTGCCTGTTAGTGGAAGACTGCTGTGTGCAAATTGACTGCTGCATTTTGCCTACAAAATACACAGTCACTACGCTTCACTAAGCCTTCACTACACTTCCCAGTGAAATCCTGTGAAGAGCTTTGAGCCACCTCAGCCATGTGAGAAGGCATTGTGCCAAATGCGAGGGTTATTATTATTTTGTATTATTATAACTTAGTGAGATTCACGGAACGGCTGTCAGTCAATCCCGGAAAATTCCGGAAAACAAAATATCTGTAGAGCTGAGCTGATTAGCAAATGTCCTCAAATCTATTAGGGGCTCAGTAGATTCTCAGTCAGCACCCAGAACACAGGCAGGTGGCAGGTGGTTAGTATTAGAGGGGCTTAGCCCCCCTTCCCCCACCCTCTTCCCTCCTCTACCTCCAAAACAATTGTGTCTGATGGGATGTGGTGGCTGGAGAGGGCTCTGCTCTCCCTGAATTATTATTATTGAAGAAATTATTACCCACAGAAAGCGATCAGCCAAGAATTCAACCTGTGACCTTGCAGGCTGTACCTAGAGCCTCAAATACTTGACCCTCTGAGAGCATTTAAAGGAGATTTTATGCCTGTTTGTCACAGACTTTAATCAATGTTTGTTTACTGTTGTTATCGGCAGTGAGGTGGAGAGCAGGAGAAGCTCAATCTCCTGGCCGGGTTAAACAGTCACTGACTAGTTAAAGCCAAGGCCTGTTAATGCCCTGAGCAAACCAGGACCTCACAACCTCCGCGGCTCTTAAAACCTGTTGCTGTGGGAACGTGATCTCCTCTTGTTTTGCCTTTGATCGAAGTTATCTTGACACAGTATTTTTGGA